ATAACATGTTTTCCTTCCTACTGAAATAATCACAGACAAATTGAGATAATGTTACCGGTCTAAAAGCATACACCGAACAGCTTTAGGAATTACTTGCAAAAAATTCTCTTTGGGAAGAAGTCATCATTCATATTGAATATGATAGCATCCTCAACTTAACTAACACAACAGTACGACTTTAAGACGACCTTAAGTCGCAAAACGAGCTTGACGATTAAAAATAATTTTAGTGTCATGAACCAGTACTTTTGCACCCTAACAATAATATCCTTTCTTTCTCATGATCTATCAAATAATTGACCTAGTTTTGTTGTTTCTTTATATTTCTAGAAATTGCGTTGCATTGTTTGTACACCTCAGAATAACTACAGACAATTAATTTCCACTGTATCTTATTAATAATTCAATTTTATTACTTCCACCTACTTCAGTGGTCGTTCACATTCGATGCTTATCCAATGGGAATACATAAGCCTGGTTAATTTATATTCATATTGACATTAAATGAATGCTTAAATGAAACTTGGCACCAATTCTTCATATAATGAATGATCATAAAATATGATAAACAAGATCATAAAGGAAAGGTGGCTTTCAATGAACGCAGCCCCCACCCGACCCAGCAACAAAAAACAGTGGCCAGGGGCCCAGGGAGACCCCAAACAAAACCAGGACAGGGCACAAGGCGGAGCACAGACAGGATAATCATTAAATTATACATGATTGGACATTATATTTACCGATAAGGAAATCACATACAATTGATTGATTAATAGGCCCACAAAGAACAAGGGCACAGGGGAAGGGGACTTAGAGAACGGGGAACGGGAACGGCAATTTTGAAAAACATAAACCCCGAAAGATGTTCCATGCGGTACGTCTCCATCTTACTTGGATAATTTACTATACCAAAATCAAAGTCATTTTTTTTATCATAGATTTTCGTGTGAATAGAATTGATTTTGATATTGAGATCCAAAAATGATAAACTTAAATTTCAAGAATTCGTTTTATTAAGTCGTAGCTCATTAGGATAACTATTAGTCACCATTTGATCAAACTAAGAAAGTTTGCACATACCCTTACTAAACACTTAACAAAACATATAAATAAAAATCAATAACACAATCGACGTGGAATGAGAAATACAATTTATCTTCATTGTTCTATTTTCTGCACAACGGTCCTTGCCAAAAGATGTTCCAATATGAATTAAAATAAATTAAATTGAGTAATATATGTTGAACGATGTTGTAACTGTTGTGTCTGACTCTTAAGAGATTGTGGTAAAAAATAGGCGAAGCAGGAAAAGCAAACATGACAGAAAGTTCGGAATATTCAAAAGAAGAACCAATATATATTTTTCCATTTAGAAACATCTACAACAAACAAAACAATTGGACAAGTGCAGCGCAAAAGGAGTGATAAGTTTTCACGATATTTTTGGGTCAGATCGACAACGGAAATCAGTGTCGAAAATTGTTAAGACATATCCGAATAAAATAACGCGTGTTCTCGGTTCGCCTAAATAAAACTAAAAACTAGAACTATTATTACATTTTAATTTAAACATGTGACAAATTAATTGCACTATCAAGTTTGAAACTGTTTGACAAATATTGCCGGTTAAAAGAGAATTCAAAGTTAAAATTAATTACCATTTGTCGTGACCAAATATCAAAAACTTGGCAAAATGTGAAATTAAAGAAAGCCAACGCACTAAATTCCAAGTCAAAAGTCAATTTCAATATATAAGACATTCTATTGGAAAAAATAAATTGAGGATATGATCTAAACATTTTCTAAAACATTATTGTCTGGACCTACATCAAATGGTACATAAATCTCGAAAATATATTTTCAGTTCCATCATGTCAAAAACTCTCAGGTGATTACCTTTATTGAAATTATGATACTAAGTATGTAATAAAAAGTGATGAATCTAAAACTGTTAACATAAACATAAAAAGACTTGAAATATAGAACTGGTATCAAGTTTAATAATTTAGTCAGTCTTTGTTCACAACTGCTTACAGTGTTTTATTTTTTACAACGCTTTTCCTTTATTTGAACAGATACGGCCTCTTTTCCATGTGTTTTATTGAAATCTGGAGGGTGCTGTTGAACTCAATTGGCAGTTTCGAGTAGTCATTTGTTAAACATAGTGCATTCATTAATTGCTCCGTTTAATTTGAAAGTTGCATGACATCGACTTCCTTTAAAACTTTAAATAAAATTTCTTTTTTGCATGTTTCGATTATGATCCGGATATTTGTTTCTGTGTTTTAAGTAGGTCATTATCAGTAACACATTGCGATGTATTGCAAAGGAAATGACCTAGTGTTCATGACGTCATGATGCATTCCCGCGCTCCAAACATGAAAAAGACGTGCGTTCCTATTGGTTTACTATTTACGTAAATTGAATCTCTGAATGTTTGCCATTAATAAATTTGTCTGATATAGAACATTTAAGACGTTTTTGTTTCGTTTTTGAAATAGCAATTTAATGACATGTTTTCAAATATAATAAAATTGTTTTGCTCATAAGTTTTTTTTAAAGGTTTTTATGACGTTATGTTTAATCACATATAGGCGCTTACAGTTGTTTTTGTTATTTTATTGTCTTTAGATATTCTCAGGTTATAATGTAGAATATTTTATATAATTTTCAACATTTTAAACAAGGTTTTCGATGATTATTAGATACGGAGATATTGTATTAAATGCTAGATTTAGATGGAAGGATTAATCAAAAACTATTTTCTTCTTTTAATATCATTTAAAGGCACGTTATGCATCAGAAAAGAATGATATTTTATATCTTCAGAAAGGGCAAACATGAATTTAATAACCTTTGAATAATGGTTTAGAGCATGAAAGATGCTTGTTGCCTGATGAAAGTAGCCATAAATGAGACGACATTTCTCATACAAGTAGAAAAGATGTAAAGATAGTAGCATTTAAACTCCATACAATATAACAGAACACATAATCTGTACTAAATGAAAAAGCAACATTACAAAAAGATGGTTATGGTAATTTGCTAATAAGTAACTTTTAAAAAAAACAATAAAAGTACACCAAAAATAAGAAAAAGCTTTTGAGAGATAAAAATAAAAGCATTTCTGGCGCATAATGGGCCTTTAATGACAAATGAACTATAAGACAAAGAATGTTAAATGTTAAGAGATAGTCTACTACATTCAAAGGTTTATCTATTTATAGCCATTTTCATCACAACGTATGTTTATTTAATTTCCTTATCCTGTTATATCATACTTTTTGGTTTTTATTGGCCCGATATTCCCAGCAGGAAAGTCCTGCCTTATGTGAGATGAGGTTTGTACGTAATGTGCATGTTGGTAATCGTTAATAGCATCTTGTTGCCACATGTAACTTGAAAACAAAACACTAAAGGTACATTTTGTGTTTTATAGAAGCTTTTAGCGCTACACATTCATTGCAGGGTTTGCTCTCCTCTGAAGTATTATTGCCAGACCGCGAATGTAATTAAACAGGTAGTTTGTTAATTAATCAGACAATCAATTTGCTGCAGAGTAGCATGTGGGGCTGATCAAAAACAAACTGAGATAGGTCATTAAAGTCCTTAGGGTTTGGTATAGGAAATATTGAATAGAATTTCGTAATAACAGTGTAAAAATGTTAAAAAACTAATGACTGCAATTAACTTGATCTGATAGTGAGAGCTTACTAAAATTTTAAAATTGATATGAAACCTTCATTTGTTTTTATTCGGCTTTTTCTAGTTGGGTGGTTAAAGTATTCCTAATGAATTTTGTATAGTCATCCCTGTGGTATGTCGTTTGCTTTTTTTAAAAGATAAATGTCTTTTTCTGCTTTTCTGTGATAAACTGGCTTTATAACCACTGAACCCTCTTTTATTCTCGTGAAAGGCACATGCATTTTATTTTTGGGAACATGCGCTGCTTATCATGGAATGATCATACGTGTTACACTGAAGGTTCCATTATAACCACTGTATGAACACAGCTGCTGATCTTTTCTAAATTCAAAACTTCACTATTATATGCTATATGTTGAATTCTGCTTAAAACTTAGCCAGTACTTGTACTTTCCAGGACCGTATGAACAGGCCCAGTGTAACCAATTTTGCCGTTTTGAACTTTCATTAGGGATTTGCTTTTTCTCCTTTTCTTTATCAGTGTCAGATATCGTTGAGCAATAATTTCTAAGCAATAAAAATGTAGTACATTTTGATAATATATACACATTGTTCTGGTGTTTCTTGGTAATATCGACAGTTTTGTTTGATAAACAATGTTTTTATATCAGTTGTAACTACTTAAACGGGCATGATATAAACAAAGATTATTTTAATATACTATGTTATTTATATAAATTTATTTTGTTTTCAAGAGTTTGTATTTATACCGACAAAGAGTTTGTGTGAAATAAATTTGAAAAATTACATAATTTCATATATCTAGTTTTGTGTCTTCAGATTGACCTTTATAACAAACGAAAGAATGAATTACCTAAAATGTATTGATTAAAAATGAACAAAAAACCGACAGATTATATGCATCTGTTGGGGAGTGCATTGTTTGTTGTTGTTTTTTTTTCAACGTTACAAACGTTCTTTTTGCAATTAAATCTTAATTATAATATATGTTTATCATCTCTTATAAAAAATTAAATTGTTATGGTAAATTTTGAATGAACTTTACATAAATAGATTGTCAACAGGTCTTTAAAACATTTTTTGTCACTCGTAAATTTTAATAATTATGTGTGGTTATATAAACATGTTTCTAAACTATTAGTGTTACGTTATTTTTCTTGAAATATTTCTATATTTTTGTAATTTACCACAGTTAAATTATCAAATAGCTGTGGTTTTGATTGGTTAGACGCGTTGAAAGCCACACGCTCGCACATTTGCTGTTCCTAACTGTCCAATAATTCTGTTGAGCGATATAAACTGATATTTGTTATCATTTCTCTTGTCTATTACAGAAAAGGTAACCACTGAAAGATGCGAATCAACACAAAGTGCCTATGGACATTAACAATTTCAATACTTGTTTCTATTTTATCGGATAATTTTGGTCAATGCAAATCAACTTTTATTGATGGGGAAAATACCTTATTCGCAGGCGATGCTGCAGAACAGGATTTAACGGGAGAAAGACTTAATAGTGAAGGTACGACAAAGTTAACAGCTGAGGGAAAGCGCGGATGGGATGGCAATTTTGCAGTGTGGGGTAAAAGGGATTACGATGCATTTTCTGAAAATGCTCGAGAAAACAGTTTATCATCTGCTCAACTTGATCCCGAGAAACGCAAATGGTCAAAATTTGCATCATGGGGTAAACGTGAAATACCGCTTGATTCCAGTACAGGATGGATAGATCAGGATATTGATAATAAAAGAGACCTAGAGGTTATGACAGAACCATTGAAAATTGATGACTCGGAATGGCCAAAACATAGTACAGATAAACGGAGATGGCAAGCTTTAAATACGTGGGGGAAGAGAACTATTGCCAACAGCCTAGACGAGGATGCTAAAAGAGGTTGGTCAGGGTTTACTTCTTGGGGAAAGCGAGACAGTGAAATCGATCAACTTAACAACATAGAAAAACGAAAGTGGCAAAAATTCGCATCATGGGGGAAGAGAGATGACGAACAGCTTATTGGCGATGCTGACAAAAGAAAATGGTCGAAGTTCACGTCATGGGGCAAGAGAAACTATGAGCCCATTTTGGCGGAACTTAAAAAACGAAAATGGGCAAAATTTACTTCTTGGGGAAAAAGGTCCGAAATAAATGATGATTTAGAAGCTGAGAAGAGAAAATGGGCAAAATTCACGTCTTGGGGAAAACGTGATAATGGTGTAGACACTGATGAAGAATTAGATACTCCCGATAAAAGAAAATGGAATAGACTAGCAGTTTGGGGCAAGAGAAGCAATGACGAGTCAAACTTAATTGATAAAAGAAATTGGGCAAAGTTTGCGTCATGGGGAAAGCGACCAAGAAACCCACAGGCCTGGCTAGCACTTAATACATGGGGAAAAAGAAGATGGACAGGGCTGACAACATGGGGTAAACGGTCCGGTGATGGTTTCAATGCAGAAACATTGGCACGTAAATTGCTCCACTTTTTTGACAATAATGGTATGTTTTCAAATACTTTTGTCTAAGTATTATGATAGATAAAATATTCTTTTCAAATATCTTTTTTGTAAAATTGTGACGTGTTTTAATTAGTGAAATCAAATTGTTTTATGCTATCAATACTATAAAAATCTTTTCAACGGGTGTGCAAACTTTAATAATATATAATGTTTTCTTAGGAGTTAATTTTCAAACATAATGACCACTTTAACGTTGAAAAATAAATATTAGTTTTACCAAGTTTGAAAAGCTAAGCTTGAAAGTCGCCATATGGCCTATACTGCTTTGATGTGCCACCGCCTATCCTAAAACAACAACAATAACAAACGAAAAAAAGAGCATTTTCTTAAGGTAGAGGAAATGATTCTCATATTTTATTAACCCTGTCAACATTTATGTTTTAGAAAATATTCGTACTTATATCGGCGTTGAAATTCACTTGGTTTATACAGAATTTATTTTAGTTCGATTGTGTAGGAAGCTATAAGCTTATAGACACACTTTCGAATCCGTTCCTGGAACCAACCAGTACTGAGCAATGAGTGTAAAGTTTTTTGCTCAAGGAAACAACGACTTGCCCCTGACGGGGTTTGAACCCATGCGGCTAGCGATCATTAGATAACTAGTCCGACGCGTTAACCACTCGGCCATGTCGCCACTGAAATTCACTTAAATTATTTTAATGTTTTAACTCAATTTATAGCCAGATTTCATTTTACGTTGTCATCGTATTGCAATGTTTTGCTTCTAAGATTTTGAACACTTTTTTCGAGATCAAACAGCTGTTGTGACAACATTTCTATTTCGAAAAGATTAGGATGTGGTACAGTAAAACGAGTGATGCCTTTGTTGTAACTATGATTCGTAGCAATTGTAACTGTGGACTTTTCCTATTGTCTGCTTTTGAGAATCCTAGACAAAATCATTTAATCAAAAAGTTAACTTCAATTTTATTAAATTGATTTGTTAAAACTTTGCATTTCATATAAAGGTTAATGTTGCCTTCTTCTTTCTATGTATTTTTTTAAATTCTATCTTTAACTTTAAAAGGACATTTCTTAATTTCTTAATAAAAAAACGACAATTTATAGATCAAAATATTATATATTTCTAAAGAATGTATTTTTTTTTCGATTGTTTGATGTTTTGTGGACGGCAACTAAGACTTTGTGGGCGTGAACACTTACTACTACCGTCCATGAACAACCGTCTATGTTTTTCATTTTGCCATTTTCGGCGTTTTTTATAGATTCCGTTCCTTACTGTTTTGTTGCCTATGTTGATGCTCTTTTATTTCTCAAATTTGAGTTAAATATTCTTTATTTGTTCTTTATTGCATATATAAAAATAAGATTTTGTTATTTTCAGGCGACGGGGCCTTAGACATAGACGAACTGACGAGCTATATCAGAACTCTGATGTCACTTCCGTCCAAACTCAACGCGGAAGAAACGCTTTCTGATGTATAATAACGTCAAAACACTAGTAACTTTGATGAAATAGTGATATATTAAAATTGAAAACCAAATTTACTAAAAGATTAAGTCATAGATTCATAAATGTTTTGGCATATCGTACTAAATTTTCGCAAATAGGACGGTTTTGTATAAATCGTGTGTATTGAAGATCATTTATAAACTTTATTTTTGTATGCCGATTAATGGAACGGTATAACTGTGTTCAGTAGACAAATTCACGCACCCGTATATAAGAAATTGTTTTATTAAATATACAAACTAAACTTCATTTCTGGATTTTCTATCAATAATTTTCGAAATCGACACAAGACTGTTAGCGCTCAAATAAACCACGAACGCTCTTATTTATGTATGAGTTGTAAAATTGTTTTGCTTTAATCTCGTAATACATTCCTTATATCTACTTGATTTAAATATGCTGCTGAGAAATTTATAACAGTATACTTTTGAAAGTTATATTTACAGCTTAACATTATATCAGTTAATGTAATTTCAATATTTTGGCTCACATTGTTTTTTGTTATTTTAAAATGTAGCTTTAGTTAGAAAATGTTATCGGAAATTTGTTACAGTTCTATTAAAATTACATTGTTATTAAAATCAAAATGTTTTCAGTGAACATGGTTTATACAAAATATGGTTAAAATGTTACAATGTTTAAGATATTTAATAAAACACCGACTATGTTATATTAAAGTTTACAGGTTTCAATAAATCCGTTTAAAGGATGTTTTACAGCTGTTGTTTAAGTTATTTTGTTTACCGTTTGTAAGCACAAAATACGATACGAAACGTACATTTTTACGTGTGTTACGCATTCAGCAAATACGAAAAATAAGAATTCTTAAAGAACGTCCAAAAAGGCAAACTATATAATTTTTGCAGTCTCAATTTGATTGAGGCTGTTTACTGACGGTTTAGGAGATGCAAACTACCGTCAATGCAAAACACCGGCGAATTTCAAACAACAAGTTCGTTACTGCGCTCTAACACGTGTATAAGCTAAGTCTATTTGAATAAAATATATTTCTAATGTAGCAATTTCATTCACACAATATTATAAAAATGCAAAAGTGTCATTGTCACAGGTACAATCTTTTAATAAAAAAAGCATTTACAAAGGGGCATCGGGCGTAATCCTTCATCAATAAATGTAAACAGACGCTATATAAATATTACTATCAATGTAATATGAGACAAAAACGAATGAAGAAAAACTAATAAAGGAACTATTTTTAATCGTTTAAGTTTTATTTCATAATAACAGGTGTATCTTCTATTAATTCGAAATAAACAACTACCACTCTCTTTGATTAAGATCAAATATAATAAACAGTATATACGGCGTTGCATGGCATAAGCTGTTTATCATATATAACAAAATTATGACATTTTCACATTAATATATTTAATGACTTGAAGATTTTGCATTCCGGCTTCAAAACTTATAAAAGCAAAATAATAAGTCTGAATCTGTATTGAATTTCAAACATCATGTCAATTTGTTTACGAAGAATGTGGAAATATGAATATACCCATATTTCATTTAATAAATGATGACAGTTTTGAATAAAGTATTCGTTCGAATGTCCAATTATTTAAGTTTCATCTGGATAAATTAGAATATTAATGGTGATTTGTGCGAACCGAACAAAAAACTAGAATGAAAATAGTGTGTTATGATTAATGCTTGCACACATAACGATCTGGAAAGAGAGATGTAACTTGTGTGTTTCTTTAAAAACTATCAGCACAGTTGTTTTCGTTTGAAAGTAAAAAGTAAGAATAAATCGTAAATCGCTTTATCGTTTGAGGCTTTGAATATCTGTATTAAAAATGGAGCAATCAACAAAAAACATTAACCCACATACGCAATAAACAACAACGGGAAAAAAATCTATTTATTACTGATTTAGCTTAGATTTGCTATTTTCATCTCTTAGCCGTTTGATACAACAAATCGGATGAATTTGTGGGTTCGAGCCTGCGACATTTTCAATGTGGCCGTTTAGGACTTTTCCTTATTTATTCCATTATGTAATGATGTATGAAGCATTAAATACACTAATTAATATAATAATACTTACTGCATGTTTTAGTAAACAACTGCATTAAAACCGTATCAGTTTAATCCAGAAGGACACTCGCTTCATTTTTATAAGGTGTTGGCATTATTTTACGCTTTTTATTAGTCGAGTGATGTTCTTTGTTTTCCTGGTTTTCCCTATCAAAACTAACAATTTGAAAACTTTTGAAGATTTTTAATCGTTTAAGTGCATTAGCACTTTTTTAATAAGTAGTTTTCCAATGATAAGCAATGAGAAAATGAACAAAATAATAATGTTCACTAGTTTCATTTAATATTTTAAATAACTGACCGAGGTAAACAAGCCAAAGAACATATATTCTTCAAGAACATCGTTTCTTTTTATCGGAGCAATAAAAGCCAGGTTTATTTTCAAATCACACACACTATTTTTCATTATAAGACTTTTTCTAAATAAATTTGATTCTATAGTTAAATGATTGAAATATTCACATTAAACTAATTATTGAAAGGTTTAAATGTCATAGCCTGTCTCTGTGGTCTCCCTGGTCTCATTGCCTTTCAACTGATGTTAAATATTCAGACGATACTAATATATATAAACACAATGCAATGCCCTTGTAAAAAGCAACACATAAAACTATTGCAAAGAAGGATTTAATCTAACAATATTAGTGTATTGAGATTATATAGAAACTTCCCTAATGCTTTTATTCAAACACATTAAACTTTAATAACAAATTTATACTCTCGAATTTACTGAAGAATATAGCTTGGACGTAAAATAACGCAAAAATGTATGTGCCCTAAACGAAAAAACAAGTGGAAGAGCTAAGGAAATGGAATTTTGAAAGGGGATCAGAGGTTATGAAACCTTGCATAACACGGAAAAGCTGTCAAAAGGCAAATTGCAAAACTAAGCAACGTATCCTGATCAAACATTGTCCTTTTAAGTATGCTTGAATCGCCAAAGTACAACAAACATCAAATAGAAATGACTAAACTAAAAGCACTTATTAATTAAATTACAGTTTTACCGATATTTAAAGAAATCATTTATAGTTTTACACGAATGGTCTAATCGTTTCGAAATTATGTCTTAATAGTAACATGCAATTTGAACCTTTGTTTTCAATAATTATCTGCTTTTGTCATGAAAGACTTTACTCCTTTAGAAAATTTGATGTTTATTTGCGTTCAATTTTTTTCCACTACAATAGTGCAGTGTTATTTTATTTAAAATATTCATATATAAGTTCGCTTGACACTTTCTTCTCAAAGCTAAACAACGATTAAGTATCTAGGTAATGAATATAATAAAATGAAATATATAACAAAGCTAAAAAAAACAACAACAAAAAAACAAACAAAACAACAAAGGCAACAAAACTAAAAAAAATAAAGAATCAAATTTTGTGTTTTTGAAAATTTAGTTTTAAGGTACCTTTATTATTTTTAAACACAAACACTTTGGAACTATTCGGGTTATTATTTAAGACAACTCATACAATTTTGAAAATCCATTTTCAAATTATAAAATGTAAGTAGCAAAATATTTGCATTAGCTGGGGTCTACTGATGTAATGGCAAACATTTTTTGTACTGCGTCACAGGATGTTTTCTTGTCAAAATGTTTTTTCTGTCTTATCATATCCAAAAAAAAGGACAAAATCTTAATATTCCAGACAGGAAAAGCAAATGGCTATGATTACATTGCGGAAATGTTATGCTTATTATTGTCTAAGGTAGACAAATAAACGTAATTGTAAGTTTAATAGTTAATTTCATCGGCATTTTTACTTTAATTTTATTATCAAATATACAAGGGTCATGGTAATAAAGCTCAAATAAAAAGTAAACTTGTCTTTAAATTTAATTGTAATTTGCTATGAATGTTAAAGGCATATTATGCCTCAGCAAAATGTATTGTTTTTTCTTCTTCAATATTGGATTTAAAGCATAAAATGTTTATCAATAGCGCTGAAAGTAAAATATTTTTTCGAAATAGTATCAAAATATTAACAAAGTGGAATAATGACTTCTATACAAATTACTACATTTTTTAAAATCATGGTTTTGTGTACTTACTACCAAAAGCCAAAGCTGGTTTAGTGGTTCAGTTATATGGACAATGAATGATTTTTATATGCCCGAAAGGGCATATTATGTTATACCCCCTGGCGTCCGTCTGTCTGTCTGTCCGTCCGTCCGTCCGTCCGTCCGTTAGCAATTTGGTTTCCGGAGCATAACTTAAGTTCCATTTGGCCAACAATGTTCAAACTTCATAGGATGATTGCCCATATTGGGTAGAAGACCCCTATTGATTTTGGGGTCAAAAGGTCAAAGGTCAAGGTCACTATGACCTTAAAACTGAAAACAGTTTCCAGAGCATAACTTAAGTTCCAATTGACCCACAATGTTCAAACTTCATAGGATGATTGTCCATATTAGGTAAAAGACCCCTATTGATTTTGGGGTCACAAGGTCAAAGGTCAAGGTCACTATGACCTTAAAACTGAAAACAGTTTCCGGAGCATAACTTAAGTTCCATTCGACCCACAATGTTCAAACTTCATAGGATGATTGTCCATATTGGGTAAAATACCCCTATTGATTTTGGGTCACAAGGTCAAAGTCACTATTACCTGGATACTGAAAACAGTTTCTGGAGCATAACTTAAGTTCCAATTGACCCACAATGTTCAAACTTCATAGGATGATTGTCCATATTGGGTAGAAGACCCCTATTGATTTTGGGTCAAAAGGTCAAAGGTCAAGGTCACTATTACCTTGATACTGGAAACAGTTTCCGGAGCATAACTTAAGTTCCATTCGGCCCACAGTTTTCAAACTTCATAGGATGATTGTCCATATTGGGTAGCAGACCCCTATTGATTTGGGTCAAAAGGTCAGGGGTCAAGGTCACTATATCCTTAAAACTGAAAACAGTTTCTGGAGCATAACTTAATTTCCATTTGGCCCACAATATTCAAACTTCATAGGATGATTGTCCATATTGGGCAAAAGACCCCTATTGATTTTGGGGTCACTAGGTCAAAGGTCAAGGTCACAATTACCTTAAAACCAAAAACAGTTTCCGGAGCATAACATAAGTTCCATTTTGCCCACAATATTCAAACTTCATAGGATGATTGTCCATATTGGGTAGAAGACCCCTATTGATTTTGGGGTCACAAGGTCAAAGTCACTTTTACCTTAATACTGAAAACAGTTTCTAGAGCATAACTAAAGTTCCAATTGGCCCACAATATTCAAACTTCTTGGGATGATTGTCCATATAAGGTAGAGGACCCCTATTGATTTTGGGGTCACAAAGTCAAAGGTTAAGGTCATTATTAATAACTTAAGTATTAATCAACCTACAGCTGTAAAATTTTATAGGATGAACAGCGAATTCCCATGTCTTACAAATGCTTCATCCTTACTAAAAAAAAACACTTTCGGGCATATAATGCTCCGCCTAGCGGTGCTCTTGTTGGATATTGTAACAGGGCATTAAAAATTAAATAAAAGTATTTTGATCTATGAAAATCAAAGCATTTTCGGTGGCTTGTTGGAGTAAGGTGACACGGCAGCAGCCTCCTGTCGTTTTTCGCTACTGCCTCATTTTGTACGATTGTTCAAATCAGCAAATCTCTGACAAATCAATTTTTAATATATTATGATTGA